CTACCCCGCCCATCTCTGCTGCTTCTCTCCCGCCCGTCTCCGCTACCTCGGCTTGTTGCTTGGCTTCTACAGTGTCTTCAGTCTTCGCTCCCAGCCGGTATATACAAATTAGCCGCCATCTTTGTTGGTGGTTAATTTGCATATCACACTGATTAGCCAATGGGAGGCGTAGTGAAGGTACGGTCAATTACCATGTTTGTCTATTACTAGATAGGATTGTGTAAATATACCACAGCATTTTTATCCACTCATTTACTGATTTGGGCTGCTTCCAAATCTTGGCTATTATGAATAATGCTGCAATGAATATAGGGGTGCATATTTTCTCTTGAATCAGTGTTTTGGGTTTCTTTGGCTATATACCCAGAAATGGAGTTGCTGCATTATAAGCAATTCCATTTTTAATTTTTTGAGGAAGCTCTATACTGTTTTTCCACAGTGGCTGCATCAATCTGTATTCCCAATAGTGCACAAGGGTTCCCTTTTCTCCACATCCTCACCAACCCTTCTTGTTTGTTGGTTTATAGATGATAGTCATTCTGACTGGTGGTAGGTGGTATCTCATTGTGGTTTTAATTTGATGATTAGTGACTTTGAGCATCTTTTCATATGCCTATTGGCCATTTGTTTGTCCTCTTTGGAGAAGTGTCTATTCAGGTCTTTGCCCATATTTAAATTGGACTGTTTGTTTTATTGGTGTTGAGTTTTATAAGTTTTTTTATAAATTTTGGATATTAACCCCTTTCAGATGTATCATTGGTGAATATGTTCTCCCATTCAGTGAGTTGTCTTTTCATTTTGTTGATGGTTTCCTTTGTTGTGCAAAACCTTTTTAGTTTGATGGATTTACATTATTTTTCTTTTGTTTCCCTTACCCAAGGAGATATATCAGAAAAAATATTACTATGAGAAATGCCTGAGATTTTAATGTCTTGCTTCTATGTTTTCATCCAGGATTTTTATGGTTTTGAGTATTACATTAAGCCTTTAATCCATTTTGAGTTTATTCTTGTGGATGGTTTAGTTCTGTTAGTATATATATAGATGCTCATAGATGCATAAGTATTTACAATTGTTATATTTTCTTGATGCGTAGACTCCTTTATCACTACATAATAACTTTATCTCTTTGGACCATTTTTAACTTAAAGTCTATTTTTTTCTGATATAAGTATAGCTACCCCTATTTTTGTTTTGTTACTGTTTGTTTGAAATATATTTTTCATCTTTTCACTCTTAGTCTATGTTTGGCCTTAAAGCTAAAATGAGTCTCTTATAGGCAACATATTGTTGGATCTTATTTTTTTAATTTATTCTGACTTTCTGTGTGTTTTGATTAGATAATTTAATCCATTTACATTTAAAGTAATTATTAATAGGTAAGGACTTACTATTGCCATTTTGTTAATTATCTTCTGACTATTTTGTAAATACTTTGTTCTTTGCTTCCTCTCTTGCTATCATCCTGTGTAGTTTGATGAGAATCATCTGCCTGGTTCTCTGTTCTACCTCTAATCCTGACTTATGAATTTTTGGGTCAGGATTTTTTTTTTCTCTCAGTGTGTGATTAACTCTCCAAAGGCATCAAACAAATGTTCTTTATATTTTGTCTAGTTTTTGAGCCCAAGGATTAATCTGAATTAGTTTGCTTTAGTGAAAGCTGCTGAATTAAATTCTTATGCCACAAAATGTTTTATCGTTTGTTTTTTATTACCTTTAAGAGAAATTAGTTTTGGATTTTGTAAGTGTCCTATTTGAGCAAGCAATTTGTATTGAATTTTCCAATATATATGTAATTTTATAGTGAGTGTATTGATACAGAAACCTACCATAATGTTTTATAGATCACTGTAACTCAACAAATTTAAATGAGTAAATTATTAAGTAAAGTAATAATTATTTAATCTTTAACAATTTTCATTCATTCTTTTGTTTAGTATGTTGCTCATATAATGACACTGAAATTAGTAAGCACGTCTATTACAATAAGAGAAAACAAAAATATTCCAGAAATACTAAAAATTCAGATAATTGGTTTGGGCACCAAAGTATCTCAGCGACCAGGAGCACAAGCACTTAAGTAAGTTTTAAAAAACTTATTTAAATTTCTATTCTATTTTTATTTTGTTTGACTTTAGCCCCCAAAGATGTAGTGTTATTTACCATTAAAAACTGATTAATAGTCATCCTTCTCTAATTTTATTTTGTGGGTGTGTTTGTGTCATGATAGACATTTTATATTTGAGTTTGTTTTGTTACGGAGTTATATGACAAGCTCATTATTTGCTCTACTCTTTCCTTTATAAATATTTATTGGATATTGTTTATAGATTGATATTATGAAGGCTATAGGAACAATAAGTTTCTATTTTCAAGAACTTTATGCTGTAGTTGATAAGAGAGGATATTCAAAAAGTTCTGTTTAGCATATTAGAGAGCTCATAAGTGAGAAGGTACTGTAAAATTAATAACTTATTGTTAATGCTATACAAGTTCAGTTGTAGAAGAGAAACTTGGCCTAGGAGAACTGGGACTTAAACTAGTTGAATGGAAAGGACTAGAAGCAGGGATGAGGTAGGAGAGTATTCAGGGTGGCATGAAGTAGGGATATGAGTCCCATGAATATTGAGCATAGCTTGTATTCATGCTGCAATTATGGGAACTTCTGCAGTGTTCTGGAGTTGGTTAAAGGTTTTGTTTGTTTGTTTGTTTGTTTTTTTATGTGGATGACAAGGAAAATAAAGGAAGAAAGAAAAAAGCCTACCTTAGGCTGTGAAGGTTATTGAATGCTAGGTTGAGAAGTTTGGATTTCAACTCTGAGTAATGGCTTGGGTCATGGCTCTCAGTGGAGTTGTTTTAAAGGGAAATTTGTGTTTTAAATCATTATATTACAAATAATTGTGTTTATATCACTTAATTTTTCTTCATTGGATTGTAGGGTGGAAGCAAAATTAGAACACTGGTATATAACAGGTCTGAAACAGCAGGATACTGTTCCATCACTTGTGGCTTCAATTGGTGATACTGCATCATCTTTGCTTAAAATTGAATTTGAAACCAATCCAGAGAATAGTACTGCTGACCAGACTCTCGTTCTTCAGTCTCAGCCTGTGGAGGTCATCTATGATGCTGTAAGTACTAAGAGAAAGTGAGTCTTCTATCTTACATGTTTAACATATGGTTTTCTTATTTTCTCTTTTTCATATTTAACATTTACTTAGCACTCTTTTCTTATTCTAAAAGCAGTACATGTTTTTCAGTTAATTTTGAATTTTTTTATGTGCTATAGATTTTTTCTACCGTAAGGTGTATTTATGTTTATATCAATTTAAAAAAAACCAAATCCACTATTTATAAAGGCTGTGTTCATTGTACCAGCTACTCCCAGTCGTTACATGCTTTGAAAAAATTTACTATGTTGTTCACATTGGAAAAAAAACATTCACATTTAGATATTATTGAAAGTGCTGGATCAAGTTCTGTATCAATATCTTCATCTTTTATTTAGACTCTCATAACTTATCTCAAGCTAGCCAACAGGAACTACTCCAGTTTATCTTTGCTTATTCTTCTTTCCCCTCAGTGTTTGGAACCAACTTAAAGAGCTTTAGAAATAATTGAAAGAATTTACTATGTTGTTCACATGGGGAAAAAAACATTCACATTTAGATACTATTGAAAGTGCTGGATCAAGTTCTGTATTAATATCTTCATCTTTTACTTAGACTCTCATAACTTATCTCAAGCTAGCCAACAGGATGTGTATGGCTCACTACTCATTGCGTCACTTCAGGTTGGCTCCACCCTGTTGTTTAGATCCCTGACTTATTTTTACTTTATAGTTTAGAAGTGGATTCACGTCGTGGGTACATTCACATTGTTGTACATCCAGTCTCCAGAACTCATTCTGTTTTGCAAAATGTCTGATTTTTTAAAAAAAGTATATTTTATTGATTTTTTACAGAGAGGAAGGGAGAGGGATACAGAGTTAGAAACATTGATGAGAGAGAAACATCAATTCAGCTG